AAATTAAGCGTTAGCGTTAGTTCTGGCAGGTCACGTGAGTCCAGCTTGCATCAGCTGATTCTCAGCTAATCATATCTACCTATAGGAATACGACACCTATCGCGGCATTCCTATATAAGCTCTATTCAGTATTATTCAGCAGCTTTTCAGCTTGCTCCGGAGCAAATTACCCTCCTCCATCCCCAGCTCCTCCTTTCGCCACAGTCAGGACTTGGCTTTCTGATATTCCTTGCTAATCAGACTCCTTTATCTTGAATAAAGTGTTACACTTAAATATCATTAAGTACATTAATGATATCTGCCTTGTTCTGTTCTGTTAACCCTAGGGGTGTTATTATTGCTGCATGGATGGGCAGGGAGTTTTTTGCCCAGAACAGAACCATACCGCCAAACCAAACGTTATGCTAAGTATCTATCATTTTGACGATAGTGGTCCTGACAGAACTAGTGTTAAACCATTTTTGGTTACACTTAATTTTAAGGTGTCCTTGTTACAGTGTAATTATACATTTAAGTACTATTAAGTAATATTAATTAACTTCATGTAATACAGAGTTCTGGCCGACACAGAATAGCGTACGCTGCTTGCGTTCAGCGGATATTCTCCAAAATGGCGCTACGGTGATGCGGAGAGACACAGAGGAGACGAATTGTTGAATAAAGTTGTTCTTTTCGTTTTCTTCGCGTACAAAAAGTATTCTTGTCGCTTCATAACATTACGGTTGAACCACTGATGGCAGATGGACTATTCTGACGATGTCTTTCATACTTTTCTGGACCTTGACAGTGTAAGTTACTTGGCAGTCAATGGGACAATCAAAAGTTTTCATCCAAAATATCTTAAATTGTGTTCCGAAGACGAACGAAGCTTTCAGGGGTTTGGAACGACATGGAGGTAAGTGATTAATGACAACATTTTCATTTTGGGGTTGAGTATCTCTTTAAAAATTGTCATGTACATTACCATGCCAATCCCTCCGAGAGTTGTCATGACAGAACTTACTATATGGTTAGGCTTTGGCTTAGGGTTACTTGCATGTAATTATGCATAATTTATTGTTATTATAATAGCAAGTACATGAGTAACAAGGACACCTTAAAATAAAGTGTTACCCCATTTTCCCCCTTTAATTGTTTATTTAATGAAGAACTGAGGCAGAATTGAATCCCTCACCTTCCTGCGCGGCGTCTTCATCGCGTTCAGTCTTCATGAGCTCCACGAGTGCCTCTGTGAGTCTGAAAGACAGAAAACAGAGATGACTGACTGAAAACACGCTCACAGGACCGCAGTTATCCTCGACACAGCTAAAGCACTCCGTGTCAGATGTGCCATTGATCACTGTGTGCACCCACAACTGCACAACTTCCTATTTCTGCACATTCGACTATTGACCGCTGTCTCAGTCACGCAGCGTTTGCACTGCTGCAGGTTTACTTGTGTTTTCGTTATTATTTCTGTTTATCCTTTATAAACTTCATGTACAGTCTGTTGAACAGGATAGACTCACATTTCACTGCAGGTCGCATTCTTTATATATCTGTGTATGTGACGAACAGAAATCTTGAAGATTAAAAATGTTTGACCACTTCATGAACCATCAGATTAGGATCCAGAAACATGAGAATGCTTCATTTTAAACTCAAGCTAATGCATTAGTGTGATGTTTAGCACGGCTCGTTCTGTCCTGTGAATGTGTGTGTTCCTGCAGAAGGAGTTTGAGTTTTTCTTTACTATCTAAATCATTATTATTTCCATTTTTATATACTGTAACTGTCCTTTGTCCATTTGTCTGTTTAAACTGTGCTTTATAACTCATAATGTATAGCACAGAGATATATTCAGCATACAGTATGTTTCCATAGCATTCAGTCGTTTGCTTGAAGAACAGCATTGGTCAGGATGTGGAATAGAGTGTTTTGTCAATTTAAAAAAAATAAAAAAGAGGCTTTTTATCCGATTAATCGATTCATTGAAAAAAATAATCAGCATTTGCTGGCACCTACTGGTGTTTTGGTTTCATATTTAAAAGTATCATTGCATTTTCCCCAACATTTCTTATCTGTATGTTCAAAGAATTATGTAAAACATTAATCTTCTTATAACATCATTTATGCATTTGCAACTTTGTGGTGACACACACACACACACACTCAAACACACACACACACACACTCAAACACACACACTCAAACACTCATTCAAACTTCCTTCAGTCTAGGAACAGCTTGCTATAATAAAATCTGACATTATAATTCAGTTTTACAAGAGCAGGAACAGAAGGTGTATTATTATTTTACAACAATCACATAAATGAACACCTCAGGAAAGGTTCAATGAGTTTGCAGTAATAAAAACATCACAATAATCCACAAGCAATTCACACGACTGCAGTCCATCAGTAACGTCTAGTGAAACCAAAAGCTGCGTGTTTGGAAGAAGCTTCAAACCACTGCTTCCTGCTAAAATACGAGTCCATAACCCATAATAACTCTTCCTTCAGTGAAAAAGAAAAATCTCCATAACTTAGATCCCAAGAGGACCTGATGGGAATGAGACGACAGATTGTGCCACCCTGCTGAAAAACCCCCAGACAACATCACAGAAATCCTTCTGGTTTCCACTACAAATACCATTACAAACCAGTAGGGCTGTCGTGATTCCTCGGTTTTATTCGACTATTCGATTTTTTTAAATCCTCGACTTCATTTTGCTCGCGTCGACTAACCGGCAAAATACCGGAAGTGGCGCATTTCACAGACGAGAATCCATAAAACACATTATTAGTCCGTTTTCCAAGGCTGCATGATATATTAAACCCATTTAAAAATCATAATTAAGCATAATTGTGAATTCATAAACGCTACGATTTAATTAAATAATTATATGCGATGCAGTTCTAATACAGTATGCGCTTTAATTATTTACATGCGTGTAGGTTAAGTACGTGCGTCACACAGCGGCTCCGTTCACAGTAGTTCCACAGGAACTGTTATCATTTACATGTGTGGAGCGTCTCAAACTCCATCTCTGCATGTTGTTGTGAGTTTGGGTTTATTATAACGTTCATCTGGCAACGCAACGTGCGCCATTTCATCAGATTTGTAAGGTAAATCATTTATAAATCCACGCAAACACATCGCGGTTTCAAAGTAAAAGCTCGAACCCTCACTCTGAGTTTACACGTTTTGATGTCCACATATTCTTTTAATTAGTGGCTATAGCATTTCTGTCCTAAAGAAATGGCCAAATACTAAAGATTAAGTGGACAACTTTTAATTAATTGAGTCTAATTAATTGAGTTTTACAGTTTTATCTTTACCACAATTCTGTTTTCCATTATTTTCTGGATTCCATTTTAATGGTTCCATTACATTTTAATAATCAAAAGCATCTCCAATTAATTTATTTTAAGGTTGTTTTTTTTTCAGAAATACTGCACATTTACATTTTTCTCCTAAATAAATTCTGGTAAATAACATTTCTGGTAAATACTCTGTTTTTTGATTATAATGTTATTATTAGTAGACCAGAACACGTGGATATGTTATGATTCTTACACTATAATACTGAGATGGACACCTGCTTCTTGCTTTTTTTACTTTTGGATTTCATTTGGTTTAATCAATATAGTTTAATAAAATATTCTGAAGTAAAATAGTTGATTTTGTGTGTGGGAAATTAATCGTTTAGACTAATCGATAAATTAGTCGATAGATTAATCGAAATAAAAATAGTCGTTAGTGGCAGCCCTACAAACCAGCAACTATTAACCATTAAAACACTCAAAAAATGGTTTCGTGTAGCATGTTTTGGGATACTTGCATTAGGATTTAGTGGTTTTAACAAGCCACCAATAGAGACCCACAGAAACCGTTACAGTTCCCATTAAAACCACTACACATTCTGTGATGGTTTCTATTGTTTTTACTGTAATCAACAATCACGCTAATCTGTGACTACATACTGTACAAGCTCCATTCTCTGACCTGCTTCTTATATGCTTGCTTACCCAAAACACACTTTGTTTAGATCTCGTCGTCGTCTCTGCTGGATAATATGTTCACACAGTCAGTAAAAGCACTGCCTGCTGTTTCAGTGACAGTAAGACAAGTGAAGCGAGCTGTCAGTCTCACTCTCATCTACACTCACACTCACCTGAGGATGAGGAAGAGGAAGATCCTCCGCTAGTGTGAAGCTTCAGTGAAGATCTCTCCAGCCATGAGCACGCAGAAGGCGACAGACAGCCGGCGACGCGTTTCAGAATAAGAGTCCGGAGCTTCGAAGCCTCTTTGTGAATCATTTGTTTCGAATCAGTGCTTCAAGCCGCCGAAGTCACGTGCTTTCAGTGAACGAGGCTACGTGACGTCAGAACTGTTTCGAAACGTGCCGGGATTTCAGCGGTTTGCCTAAAATCTGTTTATAATCTGATAAACAAGAAAGCTGTTAGGTGTATTAATGTATGTAAGCATTTCCATGTTTTTATTTTTTTTTACATTTCAATGTAATGTTATATCCTTCTTTCCTTGTCTCCACCCGCTGGCTAATGTAAAATGTTGAATGTGAATGTTTCTATAGAAAAAAATAAAGAAAACAAAATGTCAGTGGTTTGCGACGGGGGCCGATGATCTGTGAGCCCGAGAATCATGAACCACTGAACCAGCGTCTGTGGTTTCTACCTGATCTCTGATCAGTTTCAGCAATGTGTAGACATTTTTAATGGGACATTTGTTTTATTGCCCTGTTTAGACAAGCTCTCCATAAAACAAACAAAACAAGCTCTGCAAATTAATAAGAATTGTTAAAAAAAAACACATAGCCTATTATACAGACACTTCACATTTAATGGCATTTTGTTATTTAATGTATTATACTTTCAATAAAGCATTTGCAATGGGTTTGTAAAATAGTATTTGTAAAATGTCCATGCATATTATGGCCTGAGTTTTGTTGCATGTGCACAGTTTTGTCCAGCAGGCGTCACCAGCGCGTGGCGTCTCGAGCGCTTCGAATCAGTGAATCATTTTGCGAAGCGATTGGTTCAATTGAATCGGAGCTTCGAAAAGCTTCGCTCTTCCCACACTACGCTGAATGACGCAGCTTCGCTTTGTGCTGTAACTCTTCACCGCTTTCTCCCGTTCTCTATAAAGAAAACAAAGTGATTCATGTGTTTATTAATAATAACGCCAGATATATCTACCCTGTAAAATAGGGACAAACCCAGCAATTGGGTTGTTTTGACCCAGCGGTTGGGTTACTACCCAGAAGGTTGGGTTAAACATTTAACCCACCCTTCTGGGTCACCAGGGGAAAATGGCTATAGAAATAGCTCCAGAATCTGCATGTTCTGGGGGGCAGGGGCTTTCGGACCAGAGGCGAGGCCATGTTTAAGTGGGTGGGCAAAGTATAGTTTATGAAAACTGAATTGCCAACAGAAAATACAGCACAAGGGTTCAATACAAAATACATTCATACATGAGCTAACACAAATAACTAAAGGAAGTTTGTTGTAAAGCATTACCTCAGTCTGAGATCCGTTTAATAAAAAATAAACGAAATATATAAAGTTATAGTGAAATAAGATGTTTATTATGATTATCTTTTAATACATTTTTACCAACTTCTCATTGGATGGGCCACTCACCACTGCCAACCTCAGACTTGCCAACACTGCCAGCAAATGTTCATTTTTGTGTGAAGTAGCATAGAGAGAGTGAGAGAAAGTCACGTCATTTGTTGATTTGGCACAGAGAGGAGTGTTGCATGTATATATTTAAGAAAAATGTAAAATATAATATGTATATATATATATATATATATATATATACCGTATTGGCCCGAATATAAGACGACCCTGATTATAAGACGACCCCCCTTTTTCCAGATGTACCTTTTGGAAAAAGGC